CCACAACCGCGTCCACGTCCGCCCCCGTCCGCGTCCACGTCCACGACCGAGTCCGCGACCGCGTCCGCGACCGCACGACCACGTCCACATATACATCGACGTCCACGACCACGTACGTCCAAGTCCATGTACATCCACATTCATGACCACGTCCACGACCACGTCCACGTCCACGACCACGTCCACGTCCACGTCTAGGTCCACGTCCACGTCCGAGTCCTCCACGTCCATGTCCACGTCCAAGTCCTCCACCTCCACGACCACGTCCATGTCCACGTCCACGTCCACGTCCAGTCCTCCACGTCCACGACCACGTCCACATCCACGTCCACGACCACGTCCACGTCCATTACCTCGTCCACGTCAAGTCCTCCACGTCCACGACAACGTCCACATCCACGTCCACGACCACGTCCACGTCCACGACCACGTCCACGACCACGTCCTTTACGTCCACGACCACGACCACGTCCACGTCCACGACCACGTCCACGTCCACGTCCAAGTTTTCCACATTCACGACGACGTCCACGTCCACGTCCACGTCGACGACCACGACCATGTCCACGACCATGACCACGACCACGTCCACGACCACGTCAACGTCCACGTCCACGTCCACGACCACGTCCACGTCCAAGTCGACGTCCACGACCACGTCCACTCCACGACCACGTCCACATCCACATCCACGTCCAAGTCCAGGTCCACGTCCACGTCCACGTCCAGGTCCACGTCCACGTCCAGGTCCACGTCCACGTCCACAACCACGTCCACATCCACGACCACCTCCAGGTCCACGTCCACGTCCACGTCCATGTCCATGACCACGTCCAAGTCCTCCACGTCCACGACCACGTCCACGTCCACGTCCACGTCCACGTCCACGTTCACGTCCACGTCCACGTCCACGTCCATGTCCACGTCCACGTCCACGTCCACGACCATGTCCACGTCCACGTCCACGTCCATGTCCACGTCGACGTCCACGTCCACGTCCATGTCCACGTCCACTTCCACGTCCTCGTCCACGTCCACGTCCATGTCCACGTCCACGTCCACGTCCACATCCACGTCCACGTCCACGTCCATGTCCACGTCCAAGTCCTCCACGTCCACGTCCACGTCCACGTCCACGTCCACGTCAACGTCCATGTCCACGTCCATGTCCACGTCCAAGTCCACGATCACGACCACGTCCACGTCCATGTCCACGTCCACGTCCATGTCCACCTTCACGTCCACGTCCACGTCCACGTCCACGTCCATGTCCACGTCCACGTCCACGTCCACGTCCACGTCCAAGTCCATGTCCACGTCCACGTCCACGTCCACGTCCACGTCCACGTCCACGTCCATGTCCACGTCCATGTCCACGTCCACCTCGATGTCCACGTCCATGTCCACGTCCACGTCCATGACCATGTCCACGTCCACGTCCACGTCCACGTCCACGTCCACGTCCATGTCCACGTCCACGTCCACGTCCACGTCCACGTCCATGTCCAAGTCCACGTCCACGTCCACGTCCACGACCATCTCCACGTCCACGTCCACGTCCACGTCCACGTCCATGTTCACGTCCACGTCCACGACCACCACCATGTCCACGTCCACGTCCATGTCCACGTCCACGTCCACGTCCACGACCATGTCCACGTCTACGTCCACGTCCATGTCCACGTCCACGTCCACGTCCACGTCCATGTCCACGTCCACTTCCACGTCCACGTCCACATCCACGTCCACGTCCATGTCCACATCCACGTCCACGTCCACGTCCATGTCTACGTCCAAGTCCTCCACGTCCACATCCACGTCCACGTCCACGTCCACGTCCACGTCCATGTCCACGTCCACGTCCACGTCCATGACCACGTCCATGTCCATGTCCACGTCCACGTCCATGTCCACGTCCATGTCCACGTCCACGTCCACGTCCACGTCCACCTCCACGTCCACCTCCACGTCCACCTCCACGTCCACGTCCACGTCCATGTCCACGTCCTCCTCCACGTCCAAGTCCTCCACGTCCACGTCCACGTCCATGTCCACGTCCACGTCCACGTCCACGTCCACGTCGACGTCCATGTCCACGTCCATGTCCACGTCCACGTCCACATCCACGTCCATGTCCACGTCCACGTCCACGTCCACGTCCATTTCCATGTCCATGTCCACATCCACGTCCACGTCCATGTCCATGTCCACATCCACGTCCACGTCCATGTCCACGTCCAAGACCTCCACGTCCACGTCCACGTCCACGTCCATGTCCACGTCCACGTCCACGTCCACGTCGACGTCTACGTCCACGTCCAAGTCCTCCACGTCCACGTCCACGTCCACGTCCACGTCCAGGTCCACGTCCACGTCCACGTCCACGTCCACGTCCACGTCCACGTCCAGGTCCACGTCCACGTCCACGTCCACGTCCACGTCCACGTCCATGTCCACGTCCACGTCCACGTCCACGTCCACGTCCACGTCCATGTCCACGTCCACGACCACGTCCACGACCACGTCCACGTCCACGTCCATGTCCACGTCCACTTCCATGTCCACGTCCACGTCCACGTCCACGTCCATCTCCACGTCCAAGTCCACGTCCACGTACACGTCCACGTCCATGTCGACGTCCATGTCCACGTCCACGTCCACGTCCACGTCCACGTCAACGTCCACGTCCACGTCCACGTCCATGTCCACGTCCAAGTCCTCCATGTCCACGTCCACGTCCACGTCCACGTCCACGTCAACGTCCACGTCCACGTCCACGTCCACGTCCATGTCCACGTCCAAGTCCTCGACGTCCATGTCCACGTCCACGTCCACGTCCACGTCCACGACCATGTCTACGTCCATGTCCACGTCCACGTCCACGTCCATGTCTACGTCCACGTCCACGTCCACGTCAACGTCCATGTCCACGTCCATGTCCACGTCCACGTCCATGTCCACGACCACGTCCACGTCTACGACCACGACCACGACCACGTCCACGACCACGTCCACATCCACGTCCATGTCTACGTCCAAGTCCTCCACATCCATGACCACGTCCACGTCCACGTCCACGTCAACGTCCACGTCCACGACCACATCAACGTCCACGTCCACGTCCACGACCACGTCCATGTCCACGTCCACGTCCACGTTCACGTCTATGTCCACGTCCACATCCATGTCCACGTCCACGTCCACGTCCATGTCCACGTCCATGTCCACGTCCATGTCCACGTCCATGTTCACTTCAACGTCCACGTCCACGTCCACGTCCACTTCCACGTCCACGTCCACGTCCATGTCCACATCCACGTCCACGTCCACGTCAACGTCCATGTCCACGTCCACGTCCACGTCCACGTCCACGTCCACGTCCACGTCCACGTCCGCGACCACGTCCCCGACCACGTCCGCGTCCACGACCGCGTCCACGTCCGCGTCCTCGTCCGCGTCCACGTCCGCAACCGCGTCCGCGTCCGCGTCGACAACCGCGTCCACGTCCGCCCCCAGGAACGTGTCCACGTCCGCCCCCGTCCGCGTCCACGTCCACGACCGAGTCCGCGACCGCGTCCGCGACCGCACGACCACGTCCACATATACGTCGACGTCCACGACCACGTCCACGTCCACGTCTAGGTCCACGTCCACATCCGAGTCCTCCACGTCCATGTCCACGTCCAAGTCCTCCACCTCCACGACCACGTCCATGTCCACGTCCACGTCCACGTCCACATCCAGTCCTCCACGACCACGACCACGTCCACGTCCACGTCCACGTCCACGTCCACGACCACGTCCTTCACGTCCACGACCACGACCACGTCCACGTCCACGACCACATCCACGTCCACGTCCAAGTCCTCCACGTTCACGACGACGTCCACATCCACGTCCACGTCCACGACCACGACCATGTCCACGACCATGACCACGACCACGTCCACGACCACGTCAACGTCCACGTCCACGTCCACGACCACGTCCACGTCCAAGTCGACGTCCACGACCACGTCCAATCCACGACCATGTCCACATCCACATCCACGTCCAAGTCCAGGTCCACGTCCACGTCCACGTCCAGGTCCACGTCCACGTCCAGGTCCACGTCCACGTCCACAACCACGTCCACATCCACGACCACCTCCAGGTCCACGTCCACGTCCACGTCCACGTCCATGTCCATGACCACGTCCAAGTCCTCCACGTCCACGACCACGTCCACGTCCACGTCCATGTCCACGTCCACGTCCACGTCCACGTCCACGTCCACGTCCATGTCCACGTCCACGTCCACGTCCACGTCCATGACCATGTCCACGTCCACGTCCACGTCTATGTCCACGTCCACGTCCACGTCCATGTCTACGTCCACTTCCACGTCCACGTCCACGTCCACGTCCATGTCCACGTCCACGTCCACGTCCATGTCCACATCCACGTCCACATCCACGTCCATGTCCACGTCCAAGTCCTCCACGTCCACGTCGACGTCCACGTCAACGTTCATGTCCACGTCCATGTCCACGTCTAAGTCCACGATCACGACCACGTCCACGTCCATGTCCACGTCCACGTCCACGTCCACGTCCACGTCCACCTCCACGTCCACCTCCACGTCCACCCCACCCCCTCGTCCACGTCCACGTCCACGTCCACGTCCATGTCCACGTCCAAGTCCTCCACGTCCACGTCCACGTCCATGTCCACGTCCTTGTCCACGTCCACGTCCACGTCCGCGACCACGTCCACGTCCACGTCCACGTCCGCGACCATGTCCACGTCCACGTCCACGTCCATGTCCACGTCCACGTCCACGTCCACGTCCACTTCCACGTCCACGTCCACGTCCACGTCCACGTCCATGTCCACGTCCACGTCTACGTCCACGTCCACGTCCATGTCCACGTCCAAGTCCTCCACGTCCACGTCCACGTCCACGTCAACGTCCATGTCCACATCCACGTCCACGTCCACGTCCACGTCCACGTCCACGTTTACGTCCCATCCACGTCCACGTCCATGTCCACGTCCAGGTCCTCCACGTCCACGTCCACGTCCACGTCCACGTCCACGTCCACGTCTACGTCCACATCCATGTCCACGTCCATGTCCACGTCCACGTCGATGTCCACGTCCATGTCCACGTCCACGTCCATGACCATGTCCACGTCCACGTCCACGTCCACGTCCACGTCCATGTCCACTTCCACGTCCACGTCCATGTCCACGTCGACGTCCACGACCACGTCCACGTCCATGTCCACGTCCACCTCCACGTCCACGTCCACGTCCACGACCATGTCCACGTCCACGTCCACTTCCACGTCCACTTCCACGTCCACTTCCACGTCCACGTCCACGTCCACTCTCACGTCCATGTCCACGTCCACGTCCACGTCCACGTCCACATCCACGTCCACCTCCACGTCCACGTCCACGTCCACGTCCACGTCCACGTCAACGTCCATGTCCACGTCCACGTCTACGTCCACGACCACGTCGATGTCCATGTCCACGTCCACGTCCATGTCCACGTCCATGTCCACCTCCACGTCCACGTCCACGTCCACGTCCACGTCCACCTCCACGTCCACCTCCACGTCCACGTCCACGTCCACGTCCACGTCCACCTCCACGTCCAAGTCCTCCACGTCCACGTCCATGTCCATGTCCACGTCCACGTCCACGTCCACGTCCACGTCCATGTCCACGTCCACGTCCACGTCCACGTCCACGTCCACGTCCACGTCCATGTCCACGTCCATGTCCACGTCCACGTCCACGTCCATGTCCACGTCCATGTCCTCCACATCCACGTCCAAGTCCACGTCCATGTCCACGTCCACGTCCACGTCCATGTCCACGTCCAAGTACTCCACGTCCACGTCCACGTCCACGTCCACGTCCACGTCCACGTCCATGTCCACGTCCAAGTCCTCCACGTCCACGTCCACGTCCACGTCCACGTCCACGTCCACGTCCATGTCCACGTCAACCTCCACGTCCACGTCCACGTCCAAGTCCACGTCCACGTCCACGTCCACGTCCACGTCCACAACCAGGTCCACGACCATGTCCACGTCCACGTCCACGTCCATGTCCACGTCCACGACCACATCCACGACCACGTCCACGTCCACGTCCATGTCCGCGTCCATGTCCACGTCCACGACCACATCCACGACCACGTCCACGTCCACGTCCATGTCCGCGTCCATGTCCACGTCCACGTCCACGTCCACGTCCGCGTCCACGTCCACGTCCATGTCCACGTCCACGTCCATGTCGACGTCCACGTCCACGTCCACGTCGACGTCCACGTCCACGTCCATGTCCACGTCCACGTCAACGTCCATGTCCACGTCCACGTCCATGTCCACGTCCACGTCCACGTCCACGTCCATGTCCACGTCCAAGTCCTCCACGTCCACGTCCACGACCATGTCCACGTCCACGTCCACGTCCACGTCCACGTCAACGTCCATGTCCACGTCCATGTCCACGTCCACGTCAACGTCCACGACCACGTCCACGTCTACGACCACGACCACGACCACGTCCACTTCCACGTCCACGACCACGTCCACATCCACGTCCATGTCTACGTCCAAGTCCTCCACATCCACGACCACGTCCACGTCCACGTCCACGTCCACGTCAACGTCAACGTCCACGTCCACGACCTTATCAACGTCCACGTCCACGTCCACGACCATGTCCACGACCACGTCAACGTCCATGTCCACGTCCATGTCCACGTCCACGTCCACGTCCATGTCCACATCCACGTCCATGTCCACATCCATGTCCACGTCCACGTCCACGTCCACGTCCATGTCCACGTCCATGTCCACTTCCACGTCCACGTCCACGTCCACTTCCACGTCCACGTCCACGTCCACGTCAACGTCCATGTCCACGTCCATGTCCACGTCCACGTCATCGTCCTTGCCACGTGCACGTCCACGTCCACGTCCGCGACCACGTCCCTAACCACGTCCGCGTCCACGACCGCGTCCACGTCCGCGTCCTCGTCCGCGTCCACGTCCGCGACCGCGTCCGCGTCCGCGTCCACAACCGCGTCCACGTCCGCCCCCACGAACGCGTCCATGTCCGCCCCTGTCCGCGTCCACGTCCACGACCGAGTCCGCGACCGCGTCCGCGACCGCACGACCACGTCCACATATACGTCGACGTCCACGACCACGTACGTCCAAGTCCATGTACGTCCACATTCATGACCACGTCCACGACCACGTCCACGTCCACGACCACGTTCACGTCCACGTCTAGGTCCACGTCCACGTCCGAGTCCTCCACGTCCATGTCCACGTCTAAGTCCTCCACCTCCACGACCACGTCCATGTCCACGTCCACGTCCACGTCCAGTCCTCCACGTCCACGACCACGTCCACGTCCACGTCCATGTCCACGACCACGTCCATGTCCACGTCCATGACCTCGTCCACGTCAAGTCCTCCACGTCCACGACAACGTCCACGTCCACGTCCACGACCACGTCCACGTCCACGACTACGTCCACATCCACGACCACGTCCTTCACGTCCACGACCACGACCACGTCCACGTCCACGACCACGTCCACGTCCACGTCCAAGTCCTCCACGTTCACGACGATGTCCACGTCCACGTCCACGTCGACGACCACGACCACGTCCACGACCATGACCACGACCACGTCCACGACCACGTCAACGTCCTCGTTCACGACCACGTCCACGTCCAAGTCGACGTCCACGACCACGTCCACTCCACGACCACGTCCACATCCACATCCACGTCCAAGTCCAGGTCCACATCCACGTCGACGTCCTGGTCCACGTCCACGTCCAGGTCCACGTCCACGTCCACAACCACGTCCACATCCACGACCACCTCCAGGTCCACGTCCACGTCCACGTCCACGTCCATGTCCATGACCACGTCCAAGTCCTCCACGTCCACGACCACGTCCACGTCCACGTCCACGTCCATGTCCACGTCCACCTCCACGTCCACGTCCACGTCCTAGACCACGTCCACGTCCACGTCCACGACCACGTCCACGTCCACGTCCACGACCACGTCCACGTCCACGACCACGTCCACGTCCACGTCCACGTCCACGTCCTCCAGGACCACGTCCACGTCCATGACCACGTCCACGTCCACGTCCACGTCCAGGTCCACGTCCACATCGACGTCCACGTCCAAGTCCTCCACGTCCACGACCACGTCCATGTCCACGTCCACGTCCAATTCGTGGACGACCACGTCCACGTCTACGACCACGTCCACGACCACAACCGCGTTCACGTCCACGTCCACGTCCACGTCCACGACCACGTCCTCCACGTCCACGACCACGACTACGTCCACGACCACGTCCACGTCCACGTCCAGGTCCGCGTCCACGACCACGTCCACGTCCAAGTCCTCCACGATCACGACGACGTCCACGTCCACGTCCACGTCCACGGCCACGTCCACGTCCAAGACCACGACCACGTCCATGACCACGACCATGACCACGTCCACGACCACGTCAACGTCCACATCAACGTCCACGTCCACGTTCACGTCCACGACCACGTCCACATCCACGTCCACGTCGACGTCCACGACCACATCCACTCCATGACCACGTCCACGTCCACGTCCACGTCCAAGTCCAGGTCCAGGTCAACGTCCACGTCCACATCCACGTCCAGGTCCACGTCCACGTCCACGTCCAAGTCCACGTCCACATCCACATCCACGTCCAAGTCCTCCACGTCCACGTCCACGTCCACGTCCAAGTCCTCCACGTCCACGTCCATGACCATGTCCACCTCCACGTCCACGACCACGTCCACATCCACATCCATGTCCACGTCCACATCCACGTCCACGTCCTCCACGTCCACGTCCACGTCCTCCACGTCCACGTCCTCCACGTCAACATCCAGGTCCACGTCCACGTCCTCCACGTCAACGTCCAGGTCCACGTTCACGACCACGTCCACGTCCACGTCCTCCACCACGTCCACGTCCACGTCCACGTCCTCCACCACGACCACGTCCACGTCCACGTCCACGTCTTCCACGTCCACGTCCACATCCTCCACGTCCACGTCCTCCACGTCCACGTCCACGTCCACTATCACGTCCAGGTCCACGTCCACGTCCATGACCACGTCCACGTCCACGACCACGTCCACGTCCACGTCCACGTCCACGACCACGTCTACGTCCACGACCACGTCCACGTCCACGTCCACGTCCAGGTCCACGTCCACGTCCACGTCCAAGTCCACGTCCACGTCCATGTCCACGTCCACGAACACATCCACGTCCACGACCACGTCCACGTCCACGACCACGTCCAGGTCCACGTCCACGTCCAGGTCCACGTCCACGTCCTTGTCCTCTACGACCACGTCCACGTCCTCCACGACCACGTCCACGTCCACGTCCACGTTCACGTCCACGACCATGTCCACGTCCACGTCCACGTCCACGTCCACGTCCAAGTCCTCCACGTCGATGACCACGTCCACGTCCACATCCACGTCCAAGTCCACGTCATGGACGACCACGTCCACGTCTACGACCACGTCTACGACCACGACCTCGTCCACGTCCACATCCACGTCCACGACCAGGGTGGACATGGACATGGACGTGGACATGGACATGGACGTGGACATGGACGTGGACGTGGACATGGACGTGGACATGGACATGGACGTGGACATGGACATGGACATGGACATGGACATGGACATGGACATGGACGTGGACGTGGACGTGGACATGGACGTGGACGTGGACATGGACGTGGACGTGGACATGGACGTGGACGTGGACATGGACATGGACGTGGACGTGGACGTGGACGTGGAGCGGGACATGGACATGGACGTGGACGTGGACGTGGAAGTGGACGTGGAAGTGGACGTGGACGTGGACATAGACATGGACGTGGACGTGGACGTGGACGTGGACATGGACGTGGACGTGGACGTGGAGGACTTGGACGTGGACATGGACGTGGACGTGGACGTGGACGTGGACGTGGACATAGACGTGGACGTGGACGTGGACGTGGACGTGGACGTGGACATGGTCGTGGACGTGGACGTGGAAGTGGACGTGGACGTGGACGTGGACATGGACGTGGACGTGGACGTGGACGTGGACATGGACATGGACATGGACATGGACGTGGACGTGGACGTCGACATGGACGTGGACGTGGACGTGGACGTGGACATGGACATGGACATGGACGTGGACGTGGACGTAGACGTGGACGTGGACATGGACGTGGACGTGGACGTGGACATGGACATGGACGTGGACATGGACGTGGACGTGGATATGGACATGGACGTGGACGTTGACGTGGACGTGGACATGGACATGGACGTGGACGTGGACGTGGACATGGACGTGGACGTGGACGTGGAGGACTTGGACGTGGACATGGACGTGGACGTGGACGTGGACGTGGACGTGGACATAGACGTGGACGTGGACGTGGACGTGGACGTGGACATGGACGTGGACATGGTCGTGGACATGGACATGGACGTGGACATGGTCGTGGACGTGGACGTGGACGTGGACGTGGACATGGACATAGACGTGGACGTGGACGTGGACGTGGACGTGGACGTGGACGTGGACATGGACGTGGACATGGTCGTGGACGTGGACGTGGACGTGGACGTAGACGTGGACGTGGACGTGGACGTGGAGGTGGACATGGTCGTGGACGTGGACGTGGACGTGGACATGCACGTGGACGTGGACGTGGACGTGGACATGGACGTGGACGTGGACGTGGAGGACTTGGACGTGGACATGGACGTGGACGTGGACGTGGACGTGGACTTGGACGTGGACATGGACGTGGACGTGGACGTGGACGTGGACATAGACGTGGACGTGGACGTGGACGTGGACGTGGACGTGGACGTGGACATGGACGTGGACGTGGACGTGGACGTGGACATGGACGTGGACGTGGACATGGACATGGACGTGGACGTGGACGTGGACGTGGACGTGGACATGAACGTGGACGTGGACGTGGACATGGACGTGGACGTGGACGTGGACATGGACATGGACGTGGACGTGGACGTGGACATGGACATGGACGTGGACGTGGACATGGACGTGGACGTGGACGTGGACGTGGACATGGACGTGGACGTGGACGTGGACATGGACGTGGACGTGGACGTGGACGTGGACATGGACGTGGACGTGGACGTGGACATGGACGTGGACGTGGACATGGACGTGGACGTGGACATGGACATGGACGTGGACGTGGACGTGGACGTGGAGCGGGACATGGACGTGGACGTGGACGTGGAAGTGGACGTGGACGTGGACATGGACATGGACGTGGACGTGGACGTGGACATGGACGTGGACGTGGACGTGGAGGACTTGGACGTGGACATGGACGTGGACGTGGACGTGGACGTGGACGTGGACGTGGACGTGGACGTGGACATGGTCGTGGACGTGGACGTGGAAGTGGACGTGGACGTGGACGTGGACATGGACGTGGACGTGGACGTGGACGTGGACGTGGACGTGGTCGTGGACGTGGTCGTGGTCGTGGACATGGACGTGGACGTGGACGTGGAGGTGGACGTGGAGGTGGACGTGGACGTGGACGTGGACATGGACGTGGACGTGGACGTGGACGTGGACGTGGACATGAACGTGGACGTGGACGTGGACGTGGACATGGTCGTGGACGTGGACGTGGAGGTGGACGTGGACGTGGACGTGGACATGGAGATGGACGTGCACGTGGACGTGGACGTGGACGTGGACATGGACTTGGACGTGCACGTGGACGTGGACGTGAAGGACTTGGACGTGGACATGGACGTGGACGTGGACGTGGACGTGGACGTGGACATAGACGTGGAAGTGGACGTGGATGTGGACGTGGACGTGGACGTGGACGTGGACATGGTCGTGGACGTGGACGTGGAAGTGGACGTGGACGTCGACATGGACGTGGACGTGGACGTGGACATGGACGTGGACATGGACATGGACGTGGACGTGGACGTCGACATGGACGTGGACGTGGACGTGGACATGGACATGGACGTGGACGTGGACGTGGACGTGGACGTGGACGTGGACATGGACGTGGACGTGGACGTGGACATGGACATGGACGTGGACATGGACGTGGACGTGGATATGGACATGGACGTGGACGTGGACGTGGACATGGACGTGGACGTGGACGTGGACGTGGACATGGACGTGGACGTGGACGTGGAGGACTTGGACGTGGACATGGACGTGGACGTGGACGTGGACGTGGACGTAGACATGGACATAGACGTGGACGTGGACGTGGACGTGGACGTGGACGTGGACGTGGACATGGTCGTGGACATGGACATGGACGTGGACATGGTCGTGGACGTGGACGTGGACGTGGACGTGGACATGGACATAGACGTGGACGTGGACGTGGACGTGGACGTGGACGTGGACGTGGACATGGTCGTGGACGTGGACGTGGACGTGGACGTAGACGTGGACGTGGACGTGGAGGTGGACATGATCGTAGACGTGGACGTGGACGTGGACATGCACGTGGACGTGGACGTGGACGTGGACATGGACGTGGACGTGGACGTGAACGTGGACGTGGACATGGACGTGGACGTGGACGTGGAGGACTTGGACGTGGACATGGACGTGGACGTGGACGTGGACGTGGACGTGGACGTGGACATAGACGTGGACGTGGACGTGGACGTGGACGTGGACATGGTCGTGGACGTGGACGTGGACGTGGACGTGGACGTGGACATGGACGTGGACGTGGACATGGACGTGGACGTGGACATGGACATGGACGTGGACGTGGACATGGACATGGACGTGGACGTGGACGTGGACGTGGAGCGGGACATGGACGTGGACGTGGACGTGGACGTGGAAGTGGACGTGGACGTGGACATGGACATGGACGTGGACGTGGACGTGGACATGGACGTGGACGTGGACGTGGAGGACTTGGACGTGGACGTGGACGTGGACGTGGACGTGGACGTGGACGTGGACGTGGACTTGGACATAGACGTGGACGTGGACGTGGACGTGGACGTGGACGTGGACATGGTCGTGGACGTGGACGTGGAAGTGGACGTGGACGTGGACGTGGACGTGGACATGGACGTGGACGTGGACGTGGACGTGGACGTGGACGTGGACGTGGATGTGGACGTGGTCGTGGACGTGGACATGGACGTGGACATGGACATGGACGTGGACATGGTCGTGGACGTGGACGTGGAGGTGGACGTGGAGATGGACGTGGACGTGGACGTGGACGTGGACATGGACATGGACGTGGACATGGACGTGGACGTGGACGTGGACGTGGACATGAACGTGGACGTGGACGTGGACGTGGAGGTGGACGTGCACGTGGACGTGGAGGTGGACGTGGACGTGGGCGTGGACGTGGACATGGAGATGGGCGTGCACGTGGACGTGGACGTGGACGTGGACATGGACTTGGACGTGCACGTGGACGTGGACGTGGACGTGGACGTGGACGTGGACGTGGTCATGGACGTGGACGTGGACGTGGACGTGGACGTGGTCATGGACGTGGACGTGGACGTGGACGTGGACGTGGACGTGGACGTGGACGTGGACGTGGACATGGACATGGACGTGAACGTGGACGTGGACGTGGACGTGGACGGGACATGGACGTGGACGTGGACGTGGACGTGGACGTGGACGTGGACATCAACATGGACGTATACATGGACGTGGACGTGGACGTGGACGTGGACGTGGACGTGGACATGGACGTGGACATGGACGTGGACGTGGACATGGACGTGGACATGGTCGTGGAGGTGGACGTGGACGTGTACGTGGACGTGGACGTGGAGGTGGACGTGGAGGTGGACGTGGAGGTGGACGTGGACATGGACGTGGACGTGGACGTGGACGTGGACGTGGACGTGGACGTGGACGTGGACGTGGTCGTGGACTTGGACGAGGACGTGGACGTGGACGTGGACGTGGACGTGGACGTGGACGTGGACATGGACGTGGACATGGACCTGAACGTGGACGTGGACGTGGACATGGAAGTGGACGTGGACGTGGACGTGGACGTGGACGTGGACGTGGACGTGGAGGACTTGGACGTGGACATGGACGTGGAGGACTTGGACGTGGACATGGACGTGGACGTGGATGTGGACGTGGACGTGGACGTGGACGTGGACGTGGACGTGGACGTGGTCGTGGACGTGGACGTGGAAGTGGACGTGGACGTGGACGTGGACGTGGACATGGACGTGGAGGTGGACGTGGACGTGGACGTGGATGTGGACGTGGTCGTGGACGTGGTCGTGAACGTGGACATCGACGTGGACATGGACATGGACGTGGACATGGTCGTGGACGTGGACGTGGAGGTGGACGTGGAGGTGGACGTGGACGTGGACGTGGACGTGGACATGGACGAGGACGTGGACGTGGACGTGGACGTGGACGTGGAGCGGGACATGGACGTGGACGTGGACGTGGACATGGTCGTGGACGTGGACGTGGAGGTGGACGTGGAGGTGGACGTGGACGTGGACGTGGACGTGGACATGGACGTGGACGTGGACGTGGACGTGGACGTGGAGCGGGACATGGACGTGGACGTGGACGTGGACGTGGACGTGAAGGTGGACGTGGACATGGACGTGGACGTGGACGTGGACGTGTACGTGGACGTGGACGTGGACGTGGACGTGGACGTGGACATGGACGTGGACGTGGACGTGGACGTGTACGTGGACGTGGACGTGGACGTGGACGTGGACGTGGACGTGGACGTGGACGTGGACGTGGTCGTGGACGTGGACGTGGACGTGGTCGTGGACGTGGACGTGGACGTGGACGTGGACGTGGACGTGGACGTGGACATGGACGTGGACATGGACGTGGACGTGGACGTGGACATGGACGTGGACGTGGACGTGGACGTGGACGTGGACGTGGACATGGACGTGGACGTAGACATGGACGTGGACATGGACGTGGACGTGGACATGGACGTGGACGTGGACGTGGACATGGACGTGGACGTGGAGGACTTGGACGTGGACATGGACGTGGACGTGGACGTGGACGTGGAGGTGGACATGGACATGGACGTGGACGTGGACGTGGACAAGGACGTGGACGTGGACGGGGACATGGTCGTGGACGTGGGGGTGGACGTGGAGGTGGACGTGGACATGGACGTGGACGTGGACGTGGACGTGGACGTGGACGTGGACGTGGACGTGGTCGTGGACGTGGACGAGGACGTGGACGTGGACGTGGACGTGGAGGTGGACGTGGACGTGGACGTGGACGTGGACATGGACGTGGACGTGGACGTGGACATGGAAGTGGACGTGGACGTGGACGTGGACGTGGACGTGGACGTGGAGGACTTGGACGTGGACATGGACGTGGAGGACTTGGACATGGACGTGGAGGACTTGGACGTTGACATGGACGTGGACGTGGACGTGGACGTGGACATGGTCGTGGACGTGGACGTGGAAGTGGACGTGGACGTGGACGTGGACATGGACGTGGATGTGGACGTGGACGTGGACGTGGACATGGACGTGGTCGTGGACGTGGTCGTGGACGTGGACATCGACGTGGACATGGACATGGACGTGGACATGGTCGTGGACGTGGACGTGGAGGTGGACGTGGACGTGGACGTGGACGTGGACGTGGAGGTGGACGTGGACGTGGACGTAGACGTGGACGTGGACGTGGAGCGGGTGGATGTGGACGTGGTCGTGGACGTGGTCGTGGACGTGGACATCGACGTGGACATGGACATGGACGTGGATATGGTCGTGGACGTGGACGTGGAGGTGGACGTGGACGTGGACGTGGACGTGGACGTGGACGTGGACGTGGACATGGACGTGGACGTGGACGTGGATATGGTCGTGGACGTGGAGCGGGACATGGACGTGGACGTGGACGTGGACGTGGACATGAACGTGGACGTGGACATGGACGTGGACGTGGACGTGGACGTGGACGTGGAGGTGGACATGGACGTGGACGTGGACGTGGACATGAACGTGGACGTGGACGTGGACGTGGACGTGGACGTGGACGTGGACATGGACGTGGACGTGGATATGGACGTGGACGTGGACGTGGACGTGGACGTGGACGTGGACGTGGACGTGGACGTGGACGTGGACGTGGACGTGGACGTGGACGTGGACATGGACGTGGACGTGGACGTGGTCGTGGACGTGGACGTGGACGTGGAGGTGGACGTGGACGTGGACGTGGACGTGGACGTGGAAATGGACGTGGACGTGGACGTGGTGGACGTGGACGTGGACATGGACGTGGACGTGGACGTGGACGTGGACATGGACGTGGACGTGGACGTGGACGTGGACGTGGACGTGGACATGGACGTGGACGTGGACGTGGACGTGAACATGGACGTGGACATGGACGTGGAGAACTTGGACGTGGACGTGGACATGGACGTGGACGTGGACGTGGACGTGGACATGGACGTGGACGTGGACGTGGACGTGGACGTGGACGTGGACGTGGACATGGACGTGTACGTGGACGTGGACATGGACGTCGACGTGGACATGGACGTGGACGTGGACGTGGACGTGGACGTGGACGTGGAGGACTTGGACGTGGACATGGACGTGGACGTGGACGTGGACGTGGACGTGGACGTGGACATGGACGTGGACGTGGACGTGGACGAGGACATGGACGTGGACGTCGACATGGTCGTGGACGTGGACGTGGACGTGGATGTGGACGTGGACGTGAACATGGACGTGGACGTGGACGTGGACGTGGACGTGCATGTGGACATGGACGTGGACGTGCACGTGGACGTGGACATGGACGTGGACGTGGACGTGCACGTGGACATGGACGTGGACGTGGACAAGGACGTGGACGTGGACGTGGACGTGGACGTGGACATGGACGTGGACATGGACGTGGACATGGACGTGGACATGGACATGGACGTGGACATGGACATGGACGTGGACATGGACGTGGACGTGGACGTGGACGTGTACGTGGACGTGGACGTGGACGTGGACGTGGACATGGACGTGGACGTGGACGTGAACGTGGACGTGGACGTGGACGTGGACGTGGACGTGGACGTGGACGTGGACGTGGACGTGGAAGTGGACGTGGACGTGGACATGGAAGTGGACGTGGACGTGACGTGGACGTGGAAGTGGACGTGGACGTGGACGTGGAAGTGGACGTGGACGTGGACGTGGACGTCGATGTGGACGTGGACGTGGACGTGGACGTGGAAGTGGACGTGGACATGGACGTGGACGTGGACGTGGACGTGGACGTGGACGTGGACGTGGAAGTGGACGTGGACGTGGACGTAGACGTGGACGTGGACGTGGAGGTGGACGTGGAAGTGGACGTGGACATGGACGTGGACGTGGACGTGGACGTGGACGTGGACGTGGACATGGTCGTGGACGTGGACGTGGACGTGGACGTAGACGTGGACGTGGACGTGGAGGTGGACATGGTCGTAGACGTGGACGTGGAAGTGGACATGCACGTGGACGTGGACATGGACGTGGACATGGACGTGGACGTGGACGTGGACGTGGACGTGGACATGGACGTGGACGTGGACGTGGACATGGACGTGGACGTGGACGTGGACGTGGACATGGACGTGGACGTGGACGTGGACATGGACGTGGACGTGGACGTGGACATGGACGTGGACGTGGAGCGGGACATGGACGTGGACATGAACGTGGACGTGGACATGAACGTGGACGTGGACATGGACGTGGACGTGGACGTGGACGTGGACGTGGACATGGACGTGGACGTGGACGTGGACATGGACGTGGACGTGGACGTGGACATGGACGTGGACGTGGAGCGGGACATGGACGTGGACATGGACGTGGACGTGGAGCGGGACATGGACGTGGACATGGACATGGACGTGGATATGGTCGTGGACGTGGACGTGGAGGTGGACGTGGACGTGGACGTGGACGTGGACGTGGACGTGGACGTGGACATGGACGTGGACGTGGACGTGGATATGGTCGTGGACGTGGAGCGGGACATGGACGTGGACGTGGACGTGGACGTGGACATGAACGTGGACGTGGACATGGACGTGGACGTGGACGTGGACGTGGACGTGGAGGTGGACATGGACGTGGACGTGGACGTGGACATGAACGTGGACGTGGACGTGGACGTGGACGTGGACGTGGACGTGGATATGGACGTGGACATGGACGTGGACGTGGACGTGGACGTGGACGTGGACGTGGACGTGGACGTGGACGTGGACATGGACGTGGACGTGGACGTGGTCGTGGACGTGGACGTGGACGTGGAGGTGGACGTGGACGTGGACGTGGACGTGGACGTGGAAATGGACGTGGACATGGACGTGGTGGACGTGGACGTGGACATGGACGTGGACGTGGACGTGGACGTGGACATGGACGTGGACGTGGACGTGGACGTGGACGTGGACGTGGACATGGACGTGGACGTGGACGTGGACGTGAACATGGACGTGGACATGGACGTGGAGAACTTGGACGTGGACGTGGACATGGACGTGGACGTGGACGTGGACATGGACGTGGACGTGCACGTGGACGTGGACGTGGACGTGGACATGGACGTGGACGTGGACGTGGACATGGACGTCGACGTGGACATGGACGTGGACGTGGACGTGGACGTGGACGTGGACGTGGAGGACTTGGACGTGGACATGGACGTGGACGTGGACGTGGACGTGGAGGTGGACGTGGACATGGACGTGGACGTGGACGTGGACGAGGACATGGACGTGGACGTCGACATGGTCGTGGACGTGGACGTGGACGTGGACGTGGACGTGAACATGGACGTGGACGTGGACGTGGACGTGGACGTGCACGTGGACATGGACGTGGACGTGCACGTGGACGTGGACATGGACGTGGACGTGGACGTGCACGTGGACATGGACGTGGACGTGGACAAGGACGTGGACGTGGACGTGGACGTGGACGTGGACATGGACGTGGACATGGACGTGGACATGGACGTGGACATGGACATGGACGTGGACATGGACATGGACGTGGACATGGACGTGGACGTGGACGTGGACGTGTACGTGGACGTGGACGTGGACGTGGACGTGGACATGGACGTGGACGTGGACGTGAACGTGGACGTGGACGTGGACGTGGACGTGGACGTGGACGTGGACGTGGAAGTGGACGTGGACGTGGACATGGAAGTGGACGTGGACGTGACGTGGACGTGGAAGTGGACGTGGACGTGGACGTGGAAGTGGACGTGGACGTGGACGTGGACGTCGACGTGGACGTGGACGTGGACGTGGAAGTGGACGTGGACATGGACGTGGACGTGGACGTGGACGTGGACGTGGACGTGGAAGTGGACGTGGACGTGGACGTAGACGTGGACGTGGACGTGGAGGTGGACGTGGAAGTGGACGTGGACATGGACGTGGACGTGGACGTGGACGTGGACGTGGACGTGGACATGGTCGTGGACGTGGACGTGGACGTGGACGTAGACGTGGACGTGGACGTGGAGGTGGACATGGTCGTAGACGTGGACGTGGAAGTGGACATGCACGTGGACGTGGACGTGGACATGGACGTGGACATGGACGTGGACGTGGACGTGGACGTGGACGTGGACATGGACGTGGACGTGGACGTGGACATGGACGTGGACGTGGACGTGGACGTGGACATGGACGTGGACGTGGACGTGGACATGGACGTGGACGTGGACGTGGACATGGACGTGGACGTGGACATGGACGTGGACATGGACGTGGACGTGGACGTGGACGTGGACGTGGACATGGACGTGGACGTGGACGTGGACGTGGACGTGGACGTGGACGTGGACATGGACGTGGACGTGGACGTGGACGTGGACGTGGACGTGGAAGTGGACGTGGACGTGGACGTGGAAGTGGACGTGGACATGGACGTGGACGTGGACGTGGACGTGGACATGGACGTGGATGTGGACGTGGACGTGGACGTGGACGTGGACGTGGACATGGACGTGGACGTGGACGTGGACGTGGACCTGGGTGGCATTTCTACCACCCCACCTCTCGCCGTGTTCTGTCCTCCCAGGACGTCACGTTTGACGAGTCGGTCCCCTACTACCGCCTCTTCCCCTACCGCACTCCGTCCCTCCCCCCGCCCCCGCTCTTCCTTGTACCAGGTCCCCCCCTGGTAGACCCCCTCCCCCCTCAGGGTCCTGCCCCTTCAGGTGTGTCCCAGGTAGACGCAGTCAAGCCTGTCGAGGTCACTGGTGACTCTGGTGCTGCTGGGGGTGCTTTGCCTGGGGGTGCCGGGCCTGGGGGTGTTGACCCTGGAGGTGCTCCGCCTGGAGGTTCTCCGGGTGCTTCGTCTCGCAGGGAGCCACTCTCTCCACAGGAGCTGCGCGAGTGGTTTGCCCGGCGCTGGAGCCGTGCTGCTGGTGCTGGAGGTTCTTCGGCTACTGGGGGTGCTGAGCCTAGGGGTGCTGAGCCTGGGGGTGCTGAGCCTGGGGGTGCTACGCCTGGGGGTGCTGGGCCTGGGGGTGCTGGCCCTGGGGGTGCTGAGCCTGGGGGTGCTGAGCCTGGGGGTGCTTTGCCTGGGGGTGCTGGACCTGGGGGTGCTGTGCCTGGAGGTGCTCCGCCTGGAGGTTCTCCGGGTGCTTCGTCTCGCCGGGAGCCACTCTCTCCACAGGAGCTGCGCGAGTGGTTTGCCCGGCGCTGGAGCCGTGCTGCTGGTGCTGGAGGTTCGTAGGCTACTGAGGGTGCTGCTGTCGCGGGTCCCGGAGGTGCTCGTCCTGGGAGTACTGGAGCTGCTGGGCCTGCAGGTTCGACTGGAGCTGGTGCTGCTGAGGGTGTTGGCGCTGAGACTACCACTAGCGGTCCTGCTGGGGGTGCTCCTGGTGCTGCTGGAGGTTCTGGAGCTGCTGGAGGTTCTGGAGCTGCTGGAGGTGCTGCTGGGGGTTCTGGAGCTGCTGGAGGTGCTGCTGGAGGTGCTGGAGCTACTAGAGGTGCTGCTGGAGCGGGTACTCCTGCTGGGGGTCCTGGTGCTGTCCCTGCTGTTTCTAGCGTCGCCACGCGGCCTCGACCGTACTTTGTTCCACTCCTGCAGCAGGTTCTTGGTCTTACACCTTCTACTGGTCCTCCTCCTCCTCCCTTAGAGGGTCCACAGCCTGTCTAGTCATAGTCACAGCTACAGCCTGCCTCCCCTTTGCCTGCTCCTTCTCCCTACGCTGGTCCGACTGGAGGTCTTACTAAGCGTCGTGAGCCTGCGTCTCGTCCTGCGTCGCCTGTTCGTGCTGCGCGCGCTAGTGGTCGCGGTTCGCGTCAGCGTCCTCCTCCTGACCCTGGCACGCACCGGATGTCTTTGTGTCCGTCCACTGCTCCTCTGCGTGCCCCTTTGCCTTTTCCTCCTGCGTCCTCTCTTCCTGCTCTTGCCGACCCGGAGTCGGACTCTCTTCGTGCTGCCAGTCCTACTATCACGCGTCTCCTTGCTACTGCCGTCACTGACCCTTCTTTCGAGTCTACTGCTGCGTCTGCCCTTGTTTCTGAGCTAGTCGACTTTGCTGCTCGCTGTCGCCTAGAATACGCTGCGAGTCTTGTCGCTAAGTCTGAGTCTGTCTGTCCTCCGTCCGTCGGGGGTGAGTGTGCCCTTGGCACGGACGTCCTTGAGGACAGGCAGGAGGAGTTCCAGTGTCTGGCCGCTGCTTCACCTCATCTCGTGTCCGTACAGCTTACCCCTGAGGGAGACCCGGATGCACTTGACATCCTGACTCCGCGCTCTTACGCGGAGGCGATAGAGGGTCCCTACTCCTCTCAGTGGCAGGCAGCTATGGATGCAAAGATGGCTTCCTGGAAGTCCACAGGCACCTACGTTGACGCTGTCCCCCCTCCTGGGGCGAACATCGTCAGTGGCATGTGGATCTTCAGGGTGAAGCGGCCGCCAGGCTCTCCGCCTGTCTTCAAGGCGCGTTACGTGGCTCGTGGCTTCAGTCAGCGGCAGGGAGTTGACTACTTTCAGACCTTCTCCCCTACCCCGAAGATGACCACTCTTCGGGTACTGCTGCACGTTGCTGCTCACCGTGACTACGAGCTGCACTCTCTCGACTTCAGCACTGCTTTCTTGCAGGGCAGCCTGCACGAGGAGATCTGGCTGCGCCGCCCACCTGGCTTCACTGGGTCGTTCCCTCCTGGTACCCAGTGGAGTCTCCGGCGTCCAGTCTACGGTCTCCGACAGGCGCCACGTGAGTGGCACGACACACTGAGGACTACACTGGCGGCACTTGGGTTTGCTCCTTCTACTGCCGACCCGTCGCTGTTTCTGCGCACCGACACCTCTCTGCCGCCGTTCTACATCCTCGTGTACGTCGACGACTTGGTCTTTGCCACAGCTGACACTGCTGGACTCGCCTACGTGAAGTCCGAGCTGCAGAAGAGACACACGTGCACTGACCTGGGTGAACTGCGAAGCTACCTTGGCTTGCAGATCACCCGGGACAGAGCACGCCGCACCATTACCCTGACTCAGTCACACATGGTGCAGCAGGTCCTTCAGCGCTTCGGCTTCACGTACTCCTCGCCTCAGGCCACTCCTCTGCCTACTCGCCACTCGCTCTCAGCTCTGCCTTCGGATGAGTCCGTAGAGTCGAGTGGCCCGTATCCAGAGCTTGTTGGCTGCCTCATGTACCTGATGACCTGCACACGACCTGACCTTGCATACCCTCTTAGCATTCTCGCACGCTATGTTGCTCCTGGGAGACACCGACCAGAGCACATGGCTGCAGCGAAGAGTGTGAAGTGAGTAAGCAGGAAATGAAATGACTAAGGAAAGATTGGGTACAAATACAACCCTAGAAACCCTGTACCCCATATGTGCTACCCCACTATAGCCTACAGCAACTATGTCATATAAATCTGACACACCCCCATAGGCAAAGTGGGGGAGAACAAGGGGTCACAAGACCAGTCAAGCAAAGCAAAGCAAGCTCAGGGTGGATCACAAAGTCACCACACAGTCCGAGCACAAGAGTAGGGCCAGAGGCCGTTCACATGCAGGAGTACAGACATATATATATAAAACTAGACAAACAAGAGCAGGCATATATATATGTCACAGTACAAGTGAAGTCAAGAGGAGAGCAAGTGAGGCAAGACAGGCACAAGACCCAACTGGGTGCAAAAGCGCTGATGGTCACAAGGCGCGAGTGCCTTGGTGAACACATCAGCAGTGTTGGCCTCAGATGCCACGTACGCAAGTCGCAACTGACCACGCTGCTGCAGCTCACGAGCAAGGAAGTAGCGGAGAGCAATGTGCTTCGTTCTGTGCTCCAAGCGCTGCTCTCAACACAAGGCCAGCATAGCCTTGTTGTCTACGTACAGCACTGGAGGAGAACGAGGCGGCTCTCCAAGGTCAGTTAGCAGGTAGGTGAGCCAGCGAAGCTCCTGTGCAGCCATGGCCCCGGCGTAGATCTCAGCCTCACAACTGGAGCCGAGAACCGAAGACGAGCGAGTAGACCGCCACGAGACAGAGCCGGAACCAAGGCTGAAGGTGTAACCCTGTGACGACCGCTGCGTAGCCTGGTCGTCAGCCCAAGAAGCGTCCGCGTGGCCGGTAAGGACCACTGGACTCCGCCCTCCAAGCACTAGCCCCATGCCCGACGTACTGCACAGGTAGCGCAATACCCTCTTCGCTGCAGCCATGTGCTCCGGTCTGTGTCTCCCAGGAGCAACATAGCGTGCAAGAATGCTCAGAGGGTATGCAAGGTCAGGTCGTGTGCAGGTCATCAGGTACATGAGGCAGCCAACAAGCTCTGCATACAGACCACTCGACTCTACGGACTCATCCGAAGGCAGAGCTGAGAGTGAGTGGCGAGTAGGCAGAGGAGTGGCCTGAGGCGAGGAGTACGTGAAGCCGAAGCGCTGAAGGACCTGCTGCACCATGTGTGACTGAGTCAAGGTAATGGTGCGGCGTGCTCTGTCCCGAGTGATCTGCAAGCCAAGGTAGCTGCGCAGTTCACCCAGGTCTGTGCACGTGTGTCTCTTCAGCAGCTCGGACTTCACGTAGGCGAGTCCAGCAGTGTCTGCTGTGGCAAAGACCAAGTCGTCAACGTACACGAGGATGTAGAACGGCGGCAGGGAAGTGTCGGTGCGAAGAAACAGCGACGGGTCAGCAGTAGAAGGAGCAAACCCAAGAGCCGCAAGTGTAGTCCTCAGTGTGTCGTGCCACTCACGCGGTGCCTGGCGGAGACCGTAGACTGGCCGTCGGAGGCTCCACTGGGTGCCAGGAGGGAAAGTCCCAGTGAAGCCAGGTGGACGGCGAAGCCAGATCTCCTCGTGCAGGCTACCCTGCAAGAACGCAGTGCTGAAGTCGAGAGAGTGAAGCTCGTAGTCGCGCTGAGCGGCTATGTGCAGCAGCACCCGGAGAGTAGTCATCTTCGGGGTGGGAGAGAAGGTCTGAAAGTAGTCAACTCCCTGCCGCTGACTGAAGCCACGAGCAACGTACCGTGCCTTGAAGACAGGTGGAGAGCCCGGCGGCCGCTTCACCCTGAAGATCCACATGCCACTGACGATGTTCGCCCCAGGAGGGGGAACCGCGTCAACGTAGGTGCCTGTGGACTTCCAGGAAGCCATCTCTGCATCCATAGCTGCCTGCCACTGAGAGGAGTAGGGACCCTCTACGGCCTCCGCGTAAGAACGCGGAGTCGGGATGTCTAGTGCATCCGGGTCTCCCTCAGGGGCAAGCAGTACAGACGCGAGATGAGGTGAAGCAGCCGCTAGACACTGTAACTCCTCCTGCCTGTCCTCTAGGACGTCCGTGCCAAGAGCACACTCACCCCCGACGGACGGAGGACAGACAGACGCAGACTCAGCAACAAGACTAGCAGCGTAATCGAGACGACAGCGAGCAGCAAAGTCGACGAGCTCAGCGACAAGGGCAGACGCAGCAGTGGACTCAAACGAGGGGTCAGTGACGACAGTAGCAAGGAGACGCGTGACAGTAGGACTGGCAGCACGAAGAGAGTCCGACTCAGGGTCGGCAAGCGCAGGAAGAGAGGACTCAGGAGGAGAAGGCAAAGGGGCACGCAGAGGAGCAGTGGACGGACGCAAAGACATCCGGTGCGTGCCAGGGACAGGAGGAGGACGCTGACGCGAACTGCGACCACTAGCGCGAGCAGCACGAACAGGCGACGCGGGACGAGACGCAGGCTCACGACGCTCAGCAAGACCTCCAGTAGGACCAGTGTAAGGA